GCATTGGAAATTCCACAGCTCTTAAAAGACCTCTTTACCATCTCCTCTGGAATCTCTTGCCATGCTTCTTTAATCCATCAAAGGACAAGGTTTCTAGTTGGCGCCTTCTTCTTTCCTGCCGGGGTGAACTCAACTGGCCCGGTGATCATCCACGCCAAGTACTTTTTCTGGAGGTGATCTTTAAATGGCTTATTCAGGCATTTATTCAAGGGAAAACTTTTTGATCGATTTCGCTAATAAAAAATCAGTTGAATCTACACAAAATGTTTATCCGATTTGACATGAAGCAATGAGTACTCACCTTGCTCTCTTTGGTCTGAAAACCATTCCAACATCTGCTGGTCTAGCTCTGGATACTTTGGAGTGAAGCGGCCGAACGTTGTTCGTTTCGCAGACATCTTCAGCTCGCCGTTGAAAAGCTTCGCCTGGTCCCTTCTCCATCGACAAACCATAATCTCATGTGATCTCTGAGTTGTTTTCAACAGCCTCAGCTTCAGCAACAACTTTGAGCTTAAAAGCCATGTTGTAAGAAGTACAGCGAACTTTTGGCAAGATGAATACGATCACGGACGATATGTAAACTGATAATTTCGATAAGCGTTTGTTTGAGACTTAGTCTGAATGGTGGAATTTGTTATGTTCAGCTGTACTTATAGACTAGTTCGGATCAACTGATATTCACATTCTCGCTGATTTGCTAACTGTTTACAATGAACTTTTGAATATTCATTTGGTTGTCTTTAATCGTTCAACAATCAACATATGTTTCCTGAGAGGGATGCTTCAAAGGTGAAATTTTTCTGCGAAACTTTGGTATCGGCTTATAGCTGGGATCGGCTTATAGGCGAATAAATACGGTAAAGCGTTATATACCATATTATAACTCGTTTTATTCTCCTTACTAACCTTTTATTTGCGCTCTACAAGGAACAGACATCACACTACTAAACTAATCAGTTAATCTCCATCGTTTTGCTTCATTTTCCCAGAGATTGGACATCCAAAGTCATGTTCTTCAACCAACAATGACTAGTAGCAAGAAAACCAGAAATTTAATAGCAAATCCGTTACGCCTAAGTCTCCTGGAGCGTTTGTATAATGAACTACAAATTTCACTCATAACTGAAAAGGTGTCAAACAAAATTACAAGCAAACTAACTTTTCTAAAGTTCACGTTAATTTTAGAAAGTGTAGATTTTGTTCGTTGTAAAATAAGGTATTGAAACTGGAACAAACTGTACAATGAAATGTTTTGAGTTGGTCCTAGGACATAATTATTCCAGGAGATTCGCTGCCTATTTTCTGCTGTACTTGACGCCTTCACTGACCTGCCTTTAAGGCACTTTATATCGGCAAGGTTAATCCTGAATTTGTTCAATGCCACGCAAATGACCAACTTATGCCCAAGACAACTAATTAAATAAGGCCAGGTCCATTTGTATCAGTTTTCGCTTAAGAATGCAACTTTGTTGTACAGAAAGGGAGCCATCATTATATAAATGACATGAAAAGTGTGTCTTTTGGAAATAGACTAATTTCACAGGGCTGTGAATGACACTGCTAATACTGAGAACTACTCAAGAAAAACTGCATTCTCAAAGAAAAATGGTTGTGTGAGGATGAAGAAAGAAAATCCCTATACCAGGCTTATCAACATTAGCTTACAATTTTAATGATGCCGTCTGCCATTGCAAGCGTAAGACACAGTTCTTATAATGCCACTGCGCCTCTTTTCAGTTCTTCACGATAGAGAATGCCTACTGTGTCCACGTCCTCATTGTGCCATTGTATTTCTCCATCTACCAGCCCAGCTAAAACGTTGTGCCTTTAAGTTCCTTCTCTGTCCACAACACTTTCACTTTGCTTCCAACTGCCACAAAGTCACTGGCCATGTTGTTGAAAGATTCTTTTATTTTCTCCAGAACTTTACGATTTCGTTGTGAGCGCAGCCTTGCAAAAGAATCGGCTGTCATTGCTCTTTTTGTACTTGAGCCATTTCCGAATTTCTCTGAAGCCTGGAAAGATTTTCTGACAGATTGCATCTCTTTTTTTCCAGAACGATTTTTTTTCTAGGGAATCAAGGGTTTCAGTGACACTACGTGATTCTATTTTTTGCGGTGGACATATCGTTTTCTTCTTGGCACTTGCTGCTTCCCTTGTCGTCATGAGTGATGTTTCATTACTGGCGTTCGCTCGCGTTCTCATCAATATACCTTGCCTGTTTTGTTTTCCTTCAACGCCAAGCAATTCTTTGAACATTGAAATCAGCTCTACCAGGGCTTTTCTCTCTCTTTTGAATACCACTTGCTGCTGTCCACATTTCAAAGTCCAATGCGAATAATTAGCTCCTCCTTACTTCCAACACTTAGGATTCTGTGATGCAAAAAGACTGCCCTTAGGTATCGAACTGGTTGTTTATTGAACTGACTCACACAAGAAGGGACATTGCTTATAATTCCATCATGTATAAGGGATGGCGAATGGTAAATGCGAGACGGCGAGACTAGCATTTTTCTTTGCAAGCCTGAGACATTTTGACCTTTTAGATTGCGAGACACAGACTTCAAAGTGTTTTGAGTGCGGGCACAAGACCTTCAGACTCTTAAAATTCAAGCTCCAGATTTGGTTGAGAGCTATGAGAATGAGCTAGAATGAGCTTGCACAAAAGTCTTACAAAGGAGCCTTTTGTTGTAAACCCTCGTACAAGACATCAGACCAGAAAATCTGTCAACAGTCAATGAACTCTATTATTTTCCTGGCCATGACCTAATTTCCAGTCAGGAGGTTGCGCTTGTCGTTTCCCTTTGATTTTTTTGATGCTGTTGCGGGAAATGAGCACGCGTTCACCCCCCGAAAAGATGGCTGGACTCGCGAATGAGACATTGTTAATTTCCACCAATCAGAAGCTTGCTTGCCTGGATCGAACAGGCAGAGCAGGCAGCATAAATTATTTTTTCTTGGAACAAATTTCAAGATGGCGGATGCGGACAAACTGTTTGACTCTGCGTGTAATCTGTTGTAGAACGTTTCAAAGTGGAAAACCTGAAAGATTTGCAACAGAAAGCATTACAAAAGCTAGAAAATGGTGAGGACATATTTGTAATTCAACCGACTGGATCAGGAAAGTCACTTGTTTATCAGTCTGCGCTGATGGTTTTTGACATCGTCAAGAGGACAACTTTCAAATCCACTGCTGTTGTAATCTCACCTCTGACTTTGCTAATGCAGGATCAAGTGAAATTCCTTACGTCAATAGGAGTTACAGCCGAGTTTATTGGTGAAGATCAACAGGATGACGAGGCCAAAAAGGCCGTTGAACGTGGCGACTGCCAGATCGTGTTTGGATCACCAGAGTCATTTTTAAGTTCCGATCGATGGAGAAAGATGTTGTTGAGTAAGGTGTATGAAGAGAGATTGTGCCTCACTGCTGTAGACGAAGCGCACTGTATTTCGCATTGGTAATTTAGATAACCGTAAAAGATTTAATTTGTGACTTGGGCACATACAAGTGTAAGTTTACAGAGATCATGGTTAAAGAGGCTTGCTTTTGGCAAGTTTTAGTTCATGTGTTGGGTTTAACTAACACATGTGAGAAATTTCTTGTTCATAAATAACATGTATTTCCTATAGAGCATATATTTAAGTCTCTAAGCCTCCAATAACGTCACGGTCACTTTGCTAGGCCAGGAAAGCTTAACAATGAAATGGGTCTAAAGTCACCTCCTTCAGAGCTGTTTCCCATGTTTTGGGAACACATGTACATGTAGCTTTCACTTTACTCAGCTTCGATTCATTTCAATTTTGAAGTGAAATTAATTTGAAGCTTACCTTGAAATTTGAAGTTCACCTTTAAATGCATACCTTTGACACTAATGCATTATTTATATCATTTTAATGATCATACAGGGGTTATGCAGCTAAAAAAGGAGAAGGAGCATTTAGGAAATGGTTTTCTTGCATAAATGAGATCTGCTCAATCATAAAAAAGTTACCAGTGATAGCCCCACTGCAACAGCCACAACGGAAACAAGACTTCAGATTGTGAGAACATTGGAAATGAAGAATCCGGCTTTGATTGTTAACATCCCCAACAGGCAGAACATCTCCTATGGTGTGCAAGTTATCACTCCCAACCCTTCTGTGACATTTGCAAAAATGGTGAGTGATTTAAAAGTTCAAAAGACTGCATATGAACGAACTGTAATATACTGTCCCACAATAAAACTTACAACCCACTTGTATGGCTTTTTTCAAGCCGAACTAAATGAACACATTTATACGGATGAAATTCAGGATCCAAGGAAAGGAATTGTGGAAATGTTCCATGGCAGAAGTGATGAACTTAACAAGTTCATGGGAGATAGTGATGGTTGTATAGTGATGGTTGTGTGTTGATCGCAACCATTGCCCATGGGATGGGTATTGATTGCAAGGACTTAAAAACTGTGATTCATTATGGCCCATCATATAATTATGAAACATACCTACAGGAAACTGGTCGAGCTGTACGGAAAGGTCAGGACCAGTGCAAATCAGTAATTTTGTACTCAAATATAATGACAAAACATTGCCATGAAAACATGGTTACCTATCTAAAACAAAAGGACAAGTGCGGAAGAAAAGTTCTTTTGGAGAAGTTTGATGTGGGCGTCTCGAAATTGCCCACTTGTGAATATCCACACCATTGTTGTGATGTTTGCCAAGAACAATGCAAATGTGATGGTGATACATGCAACTTTGTGTTTTTTAATTCGGAATTTTCTGATTTGGTCGAAACTGAAAGGAAAGAGAGAACTGTCACGGAGGATCAAATGACACTGCTCAATTTAAAACTGGACATCTAAAGAGAGCATTATATCAGCAGTTTCTGCAGTCAGCCAAGAAAAGCAATGCACCTATGTTTACTCCAGCAAAGCTTTTTTGTGGATTTGGAGACAATCAAGTGAAGCAGATTATGCAACATTGCTCACACATTTTTTCAGTCAGTGATGTATATAAATATGTTGACATTTGGCATCCCAGTGTGGCCTCAGAAGTTTTGTTCACTATCAGTACAATTTTTGAAGATCTTGACATCAGCCATTTAGATATGGAGGAGCCAGAGGACAGCCAGGAGTCCTATTTTGACTATTTTGATGCCATTTTTGACTTTGATGTGAAAGATTCACTTATGGCAGCTATTCCTCAGGAACTCTTAACTGTATATGAAGATACTATGGATTCAGACATAGAGGATACTAATTAA